GTAGAGGCTGCTGAGGTTGCACCATTCGCACAGGGACGCAGACGCTGCACAGGCGACATACTGTAGCCAGCTGCAAACAATGGCGCACACATTTGGACAGCTCGTCCAAATACCCCTTTCGTTTGAACTGTTAATCTAATGGTCGACGCGTGTCTCTTTCTCTCGACGTTTCCGGACAAGGTTACAGTCTTCAGCATACATTTTTAGCTGATCATTTTATTGAATCATGCGGTAAACATTTACAATTGAAAGCTCATTCATTTAAAACCCAGGAATGCAGTTGTGGAATTCATCTTTAATCGCGCCTGGAGGTAATGGATTGACATCGACGTCGGTACAGTATGAGCATGCCAATCCTTCACATTTCGCCACCGGATTTACACATGTCACATCGATATCTGACGACGACTGAAACTATTTTTAAACACTATCGGACCGAAAGTTAATTTTGCGAACCCCAATTGATTATTGCTTTAAATAATACCAACCACTGATCGTTTTGCCCTTTCAGCCAATTGGGCGACGTTAACTTCGATGCAGAGCATTTCGTTGATTGGTTTTATTGGAGGAATGGTGCCAGTTGAGCTGAATGTTCACGATTCACGAAGGAGTAGAGTATTGAAGGGTAGAAGCATGGCTTTTTGAGAATAACAGAGTTTGAAAACCGACCTCTTCGGCTTGACAGCCACTCGAAGGATTTGGTTCTGCACGGTCCATTCAACATCGTAATCGCCAAGTCCTCTCGCTATCAGTTTCTGTTTTAGTTTCTGTAGTTTAGGATTCACCTCTTGATTGATGACTTCAGCCAACTGAAAGATTCTCCATTACCATTCATCATACTACTCTCAAAGGGTTCTCTACTCGGATTTATACTGGTAGTCCCCAAACTTCAAAGATTTGCTCCTCACAAGCTTTTTACACAGGCCCTACATTCCAAGCGATCTACTGGCTTAAAATTGAGGTCGAGCTCGATTACATTGGGCCAGATAAGCCTTTGCTCCATTCAAGGTGTATTGGTTGAACCTGACTGCCCTGATACCGTG